TTTGTTGAAACTGTACTTTCGATTTGATTTGAAACTGTCTCATTGCTATATGTTTATCAATAAAACTTTGAAAAGAAAAAAAAAACAAAGAGAAAAAAAAAAGAAAATTAAGTCTGATCATATCCTTGTTAGGTGTTTGCTAGAAGGTTTTACAAGTGCTGAAATTTTAAAGAATGATATAGCTACTTATCTATAAATGTTTATAATTATCATGTTGACCAAAAATTGAAGGATGATTTTTTCAACAGGAATACAGTTAATTACACATATAGATATTTTCAGTTCATCTGTGCAAATGTAGAAGAAAAAAAAAAGCATTGTATGATTGTAGGAGACACTTCCAGATCCTTGTCTCGGTCCAAGAAGCCAGTATTTGTATTCCCAGAGTTACGTTATTGGAATCCCATCAAGTTGATTCCAGTCTACCACTTTCAGTGCAACTCAGGGCGAAAATAAAGACACTAAATTATATTCTCAATCATCGGGGAGTCAAGGGTCTCTAAGTCCAGCTACGAAGATGGCTTTCCGGAACCAAGAGAGTGACCTAGGGCCTCACCCGGTTTTATTCAGTGGAGGAGTGGTTTGAGGAGGATTGATTGAGAATTGTGGGAAGTAGGTGACTACTGTGAGCTGAGCTGGGTGGGTGGCCTAAATTTACCTCTGCGATAAGCAGAGATGATATGCAGAGAGAGTAATCTGCATTGTATAGTATTTAATGTTTTGGTAAGTCTGGTGCTTCAGCTTTGATGTAGTCTTTCAAGCCCCAGGAAGTCATAGCCTCTGTCTAGAGGTTTGATCCCAGCTGGCGGCACGGAGCATTAGCTCTACCATCCTGTCTCAACCCAGCTCACATTAAAGAGCAGCAGGTATAGATTTACCAGGGAAACGTGCACACCACCTTCAAAGACTATCACCAGCACCTCAGCTAGACCAGTATATATTGCTTAAGGCCAATTGAAGGATAAACAGAAGTCCTAGCCAGCTCTGTGCATAACAATCTGAGGAAATAGGGTCAGACTCAGCCAAAATGGAGATAGTCGCTCTTCTTTCAAGGAGAGCTGCTCAGGTGGTCCTCCACATATAATTGAATAAGTAGTTTTTTTCAGTCATTATGTTTCACAATGTCTAGCATATCAGTAATTCCTATACATTACAATAATCTTTGATACTTACCTCATAAGCACTATTTTATGTTTATAACCCAAGATTAACCTGTTATTTCCAAGTTATGTAGGGCTATTTAATTTTACTTTGGGTCAGGATTTTGGGTTCTTTTGAAAGCCCAGATTGCCTAGAATTATTTGGAAAAATTATAATATTTTTACATTAATCCTGGACTTCCATGTTGTGTTTGGAAGTCTCTTCAAGTTGGCTTCCTAAAAAAAAAAAAGGGGCCGGGGAGATGGCTCAGTGGAATAAGTGCTTCCCTGGCAAGCACAAGGACCTGAGTTCAGTCCCCGGTTCCGAAAAAAAAAAAGTTGGCTTCCTGTCTCTTGCCAGGTCTCTAATAATTTTTTATAGTTTCCTTGCTTCCTTTATATACTATTTTTCAGGTTCACCTTATACAACTTCTGTCCCTGGAGTCATGTATTAGTTCAAAGTGGTCTTGGTTTCTTTTAATGTAGAACAGTCTTCAGAGAGTATAGTTGTGCTTCAGTTCAATACCATTACCTTTGAATTAGTCACTGCTGATAGTCACAGGGTTTTTCCTATTAAAAATGTTAATACTGCTTCATTAAAAATTTTAAAATACATTGTGCAAACCAGAGATTATGAGTTTAAGGTTCTTACCTGGGAATAGGCTCATAATGAGGCCAAGTGGTTATCTCATCAGCAACAGTGGACAATTCCCATAATGATCATTACAGTGCTTGATATGAACATGTTATGATTTTTGTTAGCCTGACAGGTGTAAAATGATACTTCCGGGGCCGGGAAGATGGCTTAGTAGAATAAGTGCTTCCCTGGCAAGCACAAGGGCCTGAGTTCAATCCCCGGTTCCGCAAAAAAAAAAAAATGATACTTCCATGAGGTTTTGTTGGCCATTTTCTAATACATATAATAAAATTGAACAGACTTTTATGTTTATTCATTTGTCTTTTGTGAGGCACTTTGGTTCATGAACACTTGTTTGCAATTTAATTCACAAAAGCATTTGGCAAAATTTTGTTTTTGTTTGGAATCTCTGTGTTAGGTGACAGATACAAGTGTGTCTATTTTTTCTGCACAAACACAAAAAATGTGATCTTGGGGCTGGTGAGATGGCTCAGTGGTCTAAAGCACCTACTTAGAACAAGCTTAGCAAAGCACAGGGACCGCAGTTCAATCCCCCAGCACCACAT